TGACAAAGGTTCGTTCATTACGAAGTTATGTAATGTACCTTTTTTTTCCGTTTTTATTTTTTTACTTCAATAATCCGCCATTTTAGTTCGAGATTTTTATACCAGCGGTTGTCTTCTACATACTCTAAAATTATTATGAATTAACTCCGTGCATTATTGCGTCTGCATTGGTTTTAATTTTTTTGTCAATGTCGTCACTTTCAATATCCGGTAATTTAACTAATCTTTAAAAAAATCTCTCAATATTTACAAGTGTAATGAAATCAAAATTCATTTATTTCAGACAGATACATTTAGTCCATATTCTTATAATAGTTACACAATTATGTACATATATAGTCCCATCAGGATCTACCAATATTCAAAAACAAAAACGACAAGTCCTCAAATTGAACGCAAATGCAGTCTCATGCAATGAAGCATGATCGGGCAGTCAACCCTACCAGTCACAACGCGAAGAACGTCATTTGAGCTGCCACGCATACAGCTTAGCAACGAGGCAGCTCTCTTTTGTAAGAACAGCATGAAAGCCATCCGTGTGAACTGCTTCGAACATGCCTGATGCGCTGCAGTACCGCGGCAACCCCAGCAACACTCTAAATGCGTTGTTGTACTGAATGCGCAGGGCGTTAATTGTCTTCTGCGAACAGTTGACCCACAGATTACACGTATAAAAAGTTTGGCAGAATGCTTTGAAAAGTATCACTTTGCACACCGTGCAAATCTGCGAGCCAACATATTGCTTCTAACGGCCAACGCCTGCGCTCTCTCTCAACGTCCTCTTATCCATGAGGTTCTCCGAAACCCAGTGGCCCAGATACTTAAATCGCGAAACTCTATTTAATTCAACTACATTCAAATAGACGGGTGGTACTAAGGTGATCCTGTGACCACGAGACTGAAACATCATGAGTTCACTTTTTTTACATTATATCTAAGGCCATGGGCCTCAGCGTATATCTATATCTTCAGAAGCTTCCTCAAGGCGCTTATCGAGGGAGCCAGCAAAACCATGTCTGCATAATTGAGGTTATTTATAAATTTACCATCTATGGAGCAGCCGACCTGAGCTCGGCCGAGTTCCTCGACAAGTCCATTAACATACAAGTTAAAGAGGTAGGGTGAGGTTAATCCTCCGAATAATGCACTGCATCCAAATTCGCAACTTGCGGGATTAACGCGGAAAGCCGTGAGACGTGCCTCAATGCAGACCGTCCGAAATGCACTGTATGATCTTTGTATACAAACAAATGCGGTGATTCGCTCTGGACCTTTTAGAGGGAAGTATCGTTTTTATTTTGACTTTCAATTATTTTGTGAAATCTAGTTTAAAGTGTTATAGGATAGTGCTATTGTGCCTTAATCGAAGTTTAAAACGCGAAATTGTACGAATTTCGAACTAAAATACCCGTATCGGCCCGTTTTAAGGAATCCCGAGTCGATCCAAGCACGCCGCCTCAAATTGCCTATCCTCTTTGTGGCGGTCATATTTACGGTTCATATTTAGCGACTGATGGTTGCTACACGCCTGTCCATTACAGTTGCAGTGCCACACAGAGCTTTAAATCGCAGATTTGAGTCATGCCTGTAATTTCACCAGCACCCGAAATATTTGTCTTAATGTAATTGGTGTCATGAGTAGGGTCTTATGTTAAAAGGATGCTAATGATTTCGAATTCACCCTGTTGCACAGTATGACCAGCTTTGTGCATGATCCAGTTTTATAAAATTGTAGCGCACATACCTTATATTTGTTAATAACGTCAATACAATGTTCTATATTGTCCGATTTTGAAGATTGAAGTATAACTGTGTTTAATAAGATATAACCTAACGGTAATAAGTACGCACTAATCCAATGATGTGGCGGTAGAATGATGCCAAGTTTTTGGACACTGAAAAAAATTTTACATAAGAATACAAGTCATAGTGATAGAGAAAGAATGAATAATACAAGTTCAACTATTGGAATATCAACATCTTTTAAGGGAATCAGGTGAATGGTGCCTTGCATACCTTGATGGGTAGCCAGAAAGTGTCTAAAAAGGCACGATTGGCTGTGCATGGGGGGGTGCTGGTTCCTACACTTATGTATGGTAGTGAATGTTGGGTTTGGCAGAAGAAGCATGAAAGTAGAATTAATGCAGTAGAAATGAGAGCTTTGAGGAGTATGGCTGGAGTGACTCGGATGGATAAATTACGGAACAGTGTGATAAGAGAGCGTTGCGGCGTGGAAGAAGATATAGTGACAAAGATAGAGAAAGGGATGCTTAGATGGTTCGGACATGTAGAGAGAATGAATGAAAGAAGAGTGACGAAACAGATTTATAAGGCGAGTGTGAGCGGGCAAGTTGGTATGGGCCGACCAAGGAGAACGTATCATGACCAAATTGAGGCCATCCTAAAGAGGGCCAGATCAAGAGTACCCTTAACCGACGAGCGTGTATGAAAGCATTGATGCGTGTTGATGAGGCGAAGGATGTGTGTCAGGACCGTAGCAAGTGGAAGACTGTTGTCTCTGCCTACCCCAATGGGAAAAAGGCGTGAAGTATATGTATATATGTATGTAACATCTTTTAAACATTATTCCAAATAGCTTTTTCTTTATTGTTAAATTTATGTTAATGCGATCGATCACTTACCCTTTACAGATTCCGTCAGAAGATCCTGTGTTTATAAAAAACTTTATGACTTCATTCATCGCTTTATGCTTGATAGCTACTAATTTATTAATTCCAGTAGTACCACTGGTGCTTGGGAGACAAGCGTATACTTTCTCCGTATCAAAATTGGTTGCTCTAGAACGTAGAAGCTGGTTATTCATCAAATTCCAAATTCCATTCCACTCCACTGATTCTCAGCCAGATCCTCCCTGGCAGGAGCTACGGTCTCACGTTTGTGTAACAGGTAATTTATGGAACAAAATTAGCACAGACCTTGAATTAAGCTATTTGAGGAGCGCGAAAGTAGAAAAGAGAAAAAAATTACACAATAAAAAAAGCGATAGCGATTGTCAATTTTAAAACAGAAGTTAAAATTCCCTTAAATGGTAAAAAACGGAATTAAAAAAAGAGCGAAAAAGAATAAAATAAATATTTGAAGGGAGACAAAAAAAAACAAAATCACAACAGTTATCTCAAACAGAAACTTACATAATCTCAGTACAGAGTACTAAAACACCGACCTCAAAAGTACGCGGAATTACGTCTATTTGCCAAGTTTTATCGAAATATCTCCTAGTTCGCCACTATACACTGAAATGGGACCACTATGGAGGTACGCTTTTCCAACAAAAAAAGAATCATGAAAATCGGTTCACAAATACCGGAGTTATCGCGTAACATAAATACAAACAAAAAACACAGTCGAATTGAACTCCTCCTTTTTTAAAGTCGGTTAAAAATACGCCTAAAAATTACAACATATTTTTTCAGCTGTTAAAAAATTTTGCTGGGACATATTTTCAATGCAAGGGTAGTGGTAAATCATTCCAGATCTTGGCTGCTGCATGCTTAAAACCCCTTCTAAAGCCAGCCGTTCTTTAGTTTAGTTTATTCCTTATTTTATAAATAATACTTTCTTTATTATTTAAAAGTGGCACCTATTCTGCAGATACCTTGGAGATTGGTACAATGAAATTTGTGTCTTTACTCATAATTTCTATAACATGTTTTTTTCTCGATTTCAAAGCACCGAGATCGTGGCTTTCTTTATTTACAAAACAAAAGACTATATACTCCCTGCCTATACAGCCCACGCAGTCGGTCGACCGGCTAATCCTACACGACGTACTTAGAATAATAACGCATAGAAACCTAGTCTGCGCACGCCAAGTGAGGCAAATTGAAGCGCTCCCAATGGGCCTATACGAGCGGGTGGGCCTTTAGAGCTCAAGGCCGACTTGCACCGCGAACAGCTCAAGAATTTTAGCTAAAAATGACGAAATGTGCGGTAAATGAGTGTAAAAATACGTCAGACAAACATAAAATAGATACTAACAACACATTCCACAAGGAAGTAACGCGTTTCAACTTGTATTTTTATACAAATTTGCACTAAAACCGAAAATTAACCTACTACTAAAACTAGCCTACATGAATTTGATTTTTGCCTCACTTGTGACAGTTCGTTTGATATGAAACTATCATTCTATGTGTTATTATTCTAAGACAACGTATCAATAAACTCCGATTATTTTTTAGGATCACAATTTATTGTAGTAATATTAATAACTTACTCAAATTCATTTATAGGTGCTCCGTCATCATAAGTTTCAATAAATTTCTCTAAAGTATATTCACCTTCTTTAAAAGTAACGATTTTAACGTCTAAATTTAAGTCTTGGGCAACTTGCTTGTATAATTCGTACGAATTGTAGTCACAAAATGCAATCTTCGGCTTGGCTACATTTAATATTGTTTTGATCTCAACTGCAACAATTTGACAAATGTAAAATATATTATAATACCAAATGGTATGAAAAATTGTCCTTAAAGATGAGCATGATCCGTTGAATATTGAAAACTTAAGAATTTTTTTTTCTTATTCTTTTTTTTTCAATTGCTTTAAAAGTTTCGTGATTGCTTAAATGTGGTTTTGCATCTTATATAAGTCCATAAGTAAATATTTTGTTGAATAATATTTGTGGCATTGGAAGATTTTCTTTACCATATTTGAATAGTGGATCAACTCCGGCTACAGGTATTCCATTGAAAAGGCCTGCAAAATATGGTATCCTCAAATCGTTATGATTTTTCCCTGCCAACGTTATGACATCGCCTGGTTTAAGGCCATAGTTTGTGAAACTTCTTGCTAGCTTCACAGTTCTAGTCAGTACTGATTTGTAAGTTTCTTGCTCACCCGTTGCTGCATCAATCTGTTAATTTATTGTTTTAAGATTTTTTAGAGTTTACATATTGTTATTTGTTGTTCTTTTTACGATCACTTTGAAGTAACTACGTATACTTTTCTGTCTATACACCTCTTTTAATACCCAGTACCTCTAATCATATCGGCTTTATTTCACACTAGGTAGTAGGTTTAAGAAAGTATTGTAAAATAAACTATTGTTAATAATCACAACTCGAATACTCACTAGGGAATTGTAACCGTTTCATGTTATGTTACCGAAAATCATAGTGTGTCCTAGAGGTGAAACAGATAGCGATTTGGCCG